AGTCGGGGGGTCTAATGGGCCGTCTTGAGGCTGTTTCGGGAGACTCTTGAATTGTCTTGGGCAGGATTGGAGAAGGTCAGAAGGGGAAAGGTGACCATACCGCTACCGTTTCCTCGTCTTCCCCTTTGAAGGGCATCCTGGGAGACCTTCGTCGCCACCGCTGGATTCGCCTCGAAATCCTGGTCAGAACGCACCCCGAGACAGGTCCGGGGAGTAGCGGTATCGGTACCTTTTGGTCGCTGCAGAAGGAGGGTACGAAGGTGGGGGAAAGGAATGCTATGGGACTGTTATGAGAAGGGACCTCTATCCCTCCACGGAAGACCCTGCTGGAGACTTGCAAACAGGTCAGTCGGAGCCGTCTAACATTTCCTGAATTACCCTCTCTCGCGGCACCCCGTCCTCCCCTCCCAGCAGCGGCAGCCGTAGCAGTCGCCTCTCCTGCTGCACCTGCTGCCGGCCTGGCTCATCTCCCTGGGCGTTGTCACGGGTCTGAGCTTGCTGGGGGGGTGCCGATGAGGAGGAGGAGGAGGAGGAGGAGGAGGAGGAGGAGGAGGAGGACCCCCCAGGCGCAGGAATGTCCAACGACCCCATCTGCAACGACCCGACACACCTAAGGGAATCTCGCGCCGCCATCGCTTCCACGATGGCTTTCGGGGGCCACTCCCTCCTGGGATACACACCCTTCTGAGTTCTCTTGATACTCTCAACCCCGTTTGGGGACATGCCTGGGCAACTCTTACGCAGATGACTCTCGCCTACTGTGGCACGCCGCCCACAGCAGTCGGAAAGAACATGCAGGCATCACTTCTCCACATACAGTGGGGGCGCGCATCAGGAAACCACCTGCTTTTCGTCAGGGCATCCTGGGTTTCTTCGCTCCTCGCGCCACGCGGCGACTTCCCGCAGCCGCTGAAAGACCTTCCGCGTTCAGGGTGCTCCGGGCTTCCTCTCAGGTGCACCTCGCGCACGGGTTTTCAGGGTTGGGGTTTCTTGCGAGGGTTTCTTGCGCTCCTCCTCCTCCTCCTCCTCCTCCTCCTCCTCCTCGCCGCGCCCGCACTGTACGTGATGGCGTGGCTCTCGTGGATCTGGAGGGCGCCTGCGGCCGCCTTCCGCGGTGCTTTGTGCTGGAACTCTCTGGGCAGCTGTCGGGCAGGGGGAGCGTCCTGGGCATGCCGAGAGGCTGCAGCCTCGGGGGGCCTGGCCTTAGTGGGCCCTGGAAACGACAGGGCCGTTTTGTTACCGGTTCCGTTTGCAGTTTTTTTGCCGGTTCCGACGCCGTTTTTTTACCAGTTCCGTCGCCGTTTTTTGACCGGTTCCCGCTCCGGTTCCAGTCCTGGAACCGTTTTTTTGCCGTTTCCGGTCGCCGTTTTTTTGCCGTTTCCATTTTCAAGGGACATTTTTGTGGAAACGGTGAAAAAACGGCCCTGCCGTTTCCGGGGCCCACAAAGGGCCTGGCACAGCTTGGTCGCACACGTAGCGCATCTATCCACTCTCTGTGTGCGCGATGGTGCAGGCCTGGCCGGTGGCATAGCTCTACCTCTCGCCTCACTGCGCGCTGCCCCTGAGGCGCGCGCGTCTCTTGGGGGCATCCCGACTCATAGTAAGGGCGTTGTCCCCTAGGGGGTGAGCATATGTGGATATGCTCACTGGTACGATCATCCTTCTCTCGCTCAGCTCTCTCCAAGTTGGTGGGCGGAACGAGCAGCCCTGGAGATCCGATTACAAGGCAACCGTTTCTCAACTGGTGTTCGCTCGCTTCTCTGATCATGCTCAGCCTTCTCCGAGTCTGCCAGAGCTCGGCGAGCGTGCCGTCGCACCGCGTGCGCGATCGCATCGGTTCTGTCCATGTCAGGAGCCCTCCCCGCCAGCCCGACCTCCCAAGCCAACTCCGTCCCTTCCCTCGCCCAAATATCCGCCACAGCGTTGCCTGCAGCAAGCTCCATCCGCAAGTCAGAAGCCAACAACCCTGGAGAGCCATCAGTGTGTGATGGGGGTCTCCTGTACCTCTACGGTGGCAGTGTCTGGCCTGAGACGCCAGGCTTCATGGGCCCTAGTCCACAAATCCTTATTCGCTTCAATGGGGCTGGGAAAACCCGTCTTACTGCGCAAATCACGTGCCGCTGACAAGTTATCTGTTATGACCATGAAGGCTCCTGAAACCTCCTCGAGCGCCGAGCGCCGTACAGAAAGCTTGGATTTCGGAGCGGGGGGTCTGGAAACCGCAGCTTTCACGTTCCAGCCTCCGTCGCAGAATCGGAGAGCACAAATCGCTGAGCTGCATCGGCGGCGTCTCAGGTCGTCAGCAATTGTACCCCGTAATCCGTCGCCAAACACCTTTGGAATGCCGTCGTTTCTTCTGCATTCCGCGAAGTCCACCCTGCCCCTGACCTCAGCTCCAGCCCTTCCAGCCGACATTCATCAAAGAGAGGGTTGAGTGCGACGAGAAGGCGGAAGACCACGGAACCATAAAGCTGGCTCGGCTTCTGTTTGTGCTAGCGTTGTTGCAGTGGGTGGCTCAATGTTGCTACAATCTTCAATGCCCGTGTTCCCGGGACATTCCCATATCCGACGTTCCAGGTTTTATTTTCGCAACCTGGCAGCGATGACAAGTATCCGAAACCCGATATTTTTGTTTCCCTGCAGCGGCTCCCAGTCATTGGCCGCCAGCGACTACGGTGACGTTGAGAGCGTGGAGGTCCAGCTGGCCCTTGCGCTCCTGTGCCATCACGATCGGCCACGAGTCTCCGCCCTCCTCCAGGTTGTTCCCGAAGTCGTGCTTGGCAGCCATGGTCCACAGGTCTCCCCTCACGTCCGCCTCGAAGTCATCCAGCAACTCCTGGAAGCAGCCAGTCTCTACGAAGTTGCCCTCCTCGTTGGACGGCAATTCCAGCAACTCCATCTCGTCTCCGCCAGCTCCGTGCCATCGCGTTGCCGTGGTGGGTATCCGACCCGCATCCACGAGCGTCGCAGTGGGCGCGCCCACCGGTCCGCGAACTGCACGCGAGCTCTTCTGATCAAGTCGGGCCAGCCTGGCTCTGCTCGACGGCCGTGCTCTCGTCACTCCCTTGCGTATGTGCGGGAACTTCTGCCACATACAGTGGAAACCCATGCCAAGAAACACTCCGCTTTCCTCCAGTGTGCCCTGGGTTTCTTGGGCTTCGGTGGTTCTGCAATGGAATACGTGAAGTTCCCGAACAAACATGAATGGGCGTCCTGGGGTCTCAGGGTTGGGTTTTTTGGGGGGAGGTTTCTTGCGGTTGGGTTCCTGCTGTACCCTTCCTCTCTCACCCCCCTGAGTCGAAGGTCAACGCTTGGGTCTCTTAGTCACAGTCCCATGCCCAGCGCAGTGGTCAAGCAGCGCCCATGGGCTTTTTACCACCAGCGAGGTGCCCCGCCGAAGGCCTCATTTGCAGCATCCCGTACTTGGGCATCCCGAGCGTCTGCTGGCCGTACATCGCCTGGGGCAGCGCTCCCGAACTGTAGAAGCCCTTTCGACTCTCGACTCAGAGCTGCAATCCTCCGAAGCCGACGGTTATGACTAAGTATATGTCGTGCATTCACCTGTCTCTGCTTGCTCTTGTGGGTTCACAGTTCTCCTGCCTCCAGCGGTGTTCAAGCACGGATCGACTGCCGCGTCCGTCGCTTTCGCAGGAATGTCACGCCGATAAAAAGTTGGACAACGCGTTTGCTGGCCTTCAAATCTGAGCCGATCACCGTTGTCTTCTCTGAAACAGTCATCCTCCTGTTGCACGAGTCCATGGCACAAATCGGTAGAGGCCTCTACCAGCTCTGCACTGCACTCGTATCTCGCCACAGTGTCGTCCAGAAACGTCCAGAGACATGCCTTGGGCGAGCGTCACGTGTGCGCTCTAGAACACGGTGTAGAAACAACTTGGCCAAGGTGACGTTCCGAGCTGACCTTGCCACTAACGATCGTGAAGGCCAGATGGCCTCACTGACGATGGAACGCTCCTGCAGGCACCCGGGCCCGAGGAAGATCGCCACCTCAAGCCCCACCGCCGCCGCCGGGGAGCCTGCCTTGCCGGCGATCTGCATCGATATCCCCAGCGGCACCGTCGTCGTAGCACTTCGCCCATCTCCGGCAAGAAGGCCACGGCCGAGGCCCCGGGCCCCACGCCCGCCTCGTCCAGGAGCGCCCGCGGGAGCCCCGCCCCGGGTGCAGAGCTTCCCCTGCGCGCCGTGGCCCAGCGCGCCGCCCATTTCCCGCAACGGCCTCCCCGAGCTCGGCCCCAAAGTTTCACTCGGCGGCGCGCGAGGGGGGGGGGGGAGTGAGAAGGGGCGGGCCTTCTCAGAAGGCTCGGGGAAGTCCCCCGGCCTGCTCGGAAGTTTGCCGAGCCCTCCCCGAAGACGCAGGAAGCCCCTCAGCAGGCGCGAGGGCGCCTGAGAAGCCCCGCCGGCGTCTGAGAAGGCCGTCTCCTTCTCGCTTCCCCCCTCGCTCGCCGCCAGTTCACGGGCGGTGGCAGCACTCCAGGGCGCGGTCGCCACCTCCTCCTCCTCTCCCTCCTCCTCCTCCTCCTCCTCCTCCTCCTCCTCCTCCTCCGCGGTCGCATGTCGACGGGAACAGTTTTTGAGAAGACCGACGCTCGCTCAAGGTCGGCGGCCAAGCTTCGATGTGCCGGTCGCGCTCAGTAGGACGGTGGCATCGCCAGCGACATCGGCAGCAGCACTGGCAGCAGTGTTGCGGTCCCAACAGCGGTGTCGGTCGACGCCTCGACGCCACGGCATCGGTTGCGGTGACGGGGGGGGGCGGCGGCGTCGGCCGCAGGCGCACCAACAGCGGCAGCAGCTGCGTTGGCAGCGGCGACGGCGGCGGCCTCAGCAGTGGCAGCGGTGATGGCCTGAGCGGCGGTGGGTGCAGGGGTGGCAGCGGCACCGGCGGTGACTATAGGCAGCATTGGAGAAGGCACCGCTTGGTGACAGGGTTCAGGGCCAGCAGCGGGGCGCGAGTCAGACAAAAACACACGAGCATTGGTCGGCAGGCTCCACGTGCCCGAGTACATGTACTGAGGGCAAGCGCCCGTCATTGCTGGCGCGCTTTTCCCGTGTATTTATCTCCGCCAGTCCTCCGTTCCCTCGGCTGGTAGATGGCACAATTTTCGCGCTCAAGAGTTCTCTCTGCTTGTACCTTCAAGTGCCACCGAGGCCGAGGCCGAGGCCGAGACCGAAGCCTTACCGTATCATCATCATCATCATCACCACCACCACCACCACCACCACCACCATCATCATCATCATCATCATCATCATCATCATCATCATCATCATCATCATCATCATCATCATCATCATCACCGCCATCATCATCATCATCATCATCATCATCATCATCATCATCATCATCATCCTCATCCTCATCCCCATCCTCATCCTCATCATTATCATCATCATCATCATCATCATCATCATCGTCATCATTTCACCATCATCATCTTCAGCATCATCCTCATCATCATCATCATCATCATCGACAGCATGTCATCATCATCATCACCATCATCAACCACATCATCAGCCTCCTCGTCCTGCTCCTCGTGCTCGTTTTTGCCTCCGTCCTATTATTCGTTGTTGTCTTCGCATTCGTCGTCCTCTTCATCCCCGCTCGCTGTTCCACCACATCGTCAGCAACATATCCACTCTTATATCGTTGCGTCCCCTTCCCCATCGTTGTCCGCAGTGTCTGCGGCTTGTCCGCAGCCTGTGCTTGAGGGGTGCACTACAGTAGGTCAGTTCGTCTGCGCGTGCGTCGGTTAGTTAGGTGGCTTTAGGCGGTACGGTAGACTCGAGCATCAGCCTGCGACAGGATCTTCTCTCTGCCGACGCTGGGTGCAGCACGCAGCAGTGACGGGGCTGGAGAAGCAGATGGAGGAGATACAGTCGGCCCTGATTAGTAGGTCGACCCTGCCAAATCCAGGGTACCCTTAGGTACCTGTGTGTCCTGTGCCTCGCAACCTATGCCTCCTACACCCCCCATGGCAATGTGGCCCTCGGAAGGGTCTTGTGTCCTCTCGCGTGTCCTGTCCAATCAAGGCCGACTGTAGGAGGGGAGCGGCGTGATGGTACATTGAGTGTAGTTGCGTTGTCCCCTGCCCCTGCAGTACCGGTGCAGAGCACGGCACGCATAACGCACACCACCCAGGACCGGGCATGAACGTGGAGTGGTTCGCCGAAGTGTGTGTGTGTGTGTGTGTGATTGTGCTTGCATGGGCCGTGGACTAGTCGGGTAAACGTAGGACATACCAGTTTGTTTTTTGTCTCTCCCTCTCTCTCTCTCTTTCTTTCTTTGTTTGTTCTGTCTCTCTCTCTCTCTCTCTTTCTTTCTCTATGAATATATATACATATATATAGATATATGCGTATGCGCGTACGCACGCACGCACGCACGCACGCATGCATGCCTGTATGTATGTATGTATGTATGTATGTATGTATGTATGTATGTATGTATACATGCATGCCTGCATGTATGCATGTATGCATGTATGCATGTATGCATGTATGCATGCATGCATGTATGCATGTATGCATGTATGCATGTATGCATGTATGCATGTACGCATGTATGCATGTATGCATGTATGTATGCATGCATGCATGCATGCACGTATGTAGGTATGTATGTATGTATGCATGCATGCATGCATGCATGTATGTATGTATGTATGTATGTATGTATGTACGTGTGTATGTGTGTAGAAAAGCATATATTTACATATGTGTATGAATGTAGGTATACATGTGTGTATGTATGCATGCATGCATGCATGCATGCATGCATGCATGCATGCATGCATGTATGTATGTATGTATGTATGTATGTATGTATGTATGGTTGTTAGTATGTATGCATGTATGTATGCATGCATGCATGCATGTATGTATATATGTATGTATGTATGTGTGTTTGTATGTATGTGCGTACGTATGCATGTATGCTTGCATGTATATATATATGAATAGCTGTAGATACATATTCCTCTTCCAACATGTTTACAAGTTGGGGGGGAATCCCCCTACCCACCCCCACCCCAAAACCAGACCCCCTGGATTTGGCGTTTCCGGGCCCCCCGGACACCCTTGCCAGAGGTCCCCCAGCTCGTCTTGGACCCCCCAGGGCGCTTGGCCAGGTCTTGCCAGCAGACCCCAGGCGGTCAGAGCGGTGATCAGAGAGGCCGAAGAGAGACCCAAGACCAAGATAGCACAAGAGCGCTCCAAGAAGGACCTAGATGGCCTCCAGAGGCCCCCAAGACGGCCCAAGAGGCCCTGGACAAGACTCCCAGAACGCAGAGATCGCTTTATTCCCTTAGGGAACCGTGCATGTTCAGCATGTTCGCTGTTCGAGTCTAAGCAGCGTCCAATACAGCCACGAAGGCCTCCGGTGTCGCCCCAAGACGGCCCAAGAGACACCCAAGAGAGCTTCTAGACGGCCTGGATGGCCCCAAGACTGTCCAAGGAAGACCCAAATGGGCCAAAAAGAAACCCAACAGGCCCTCACAAGGTCCCCAAGAGAAGCCCAAGAAGGCCATGGGAGACCCCCAAAAAGGCCATGGGAGGGCACAAGAAGGGCCCATGTAGCCCCTGTAAGTCCCCTAGAGGGCCCAAGCTCCCCAACGCTGCCCAAAATGGCCCCAGGACGGCTCGAGAGGGCTCCAAGCCGGCCCACCAGGGTTCGCAACCACATTTCCCAGAAATTTGTTGCGAACCCGGGATTCGGTGCATTCCCGAAGAATTGCTTACTTTCGCGTGCCCCGTTGCGACCCGCTGCAACATGGCATCCTCGGCTTGGCATTGAGTTGTTCTGTGCGGCGCTGCTCGACATTGCGTCGGTTTGCTTGGCATTCCTTCGCGTGGCTTGCCATTCCTTCGCGCTGCGCACTGGGGCACCTGAGCCACGAGCTGGCCCATGTGCGGGCCCAGGGCCTGCGAAGGCCTTCTCGTCGCCATTCGCTGCCGGACATTTCTGCAACCGTGCACGTACACACGCAACCGTGGCCGTTGGCTTCTGGACAGCCCTCCTCGGAGCGGCGCAACCGAAATTCTTCGCCGTCCCCCGACGGCACCATCTCTTTCCCTCCTCCTACTCCTCTGGGTTCTCCTCCTCCTCCTCCTCTTTCTGCCGTTCCACCACTCGTCCTCCCCCACATCCGCTTCCCTCTCCTCGATCCCCGAGATTCCTTCCCCTCTATCCTTCGCCCTCCACCTGGCGCCTTTCGGGAGCCCCCAGAGGCCCGGGAAGGGCCACGGACCGCCCGAGCTTTCAGAGAGTTCCACAAACCACCGCAGGGAAGGGGCCAAAATTCTAAGGCCACGAGGGACGGCGCGAACGACCAACATAAGCAAAGCCTCGAGGACCAAGGAGCATGGCGCGAAACGCCAATCCAGTCCTGTGTATATATATATATATGTATACAAGACTGCAGTGGCGCTTCGCGCCATGCACCTTGGTCCTTGACTTTTGGTTTGCAGGCGGACTAGCAGGAAGGTCAAGCCGACAATTTAGCGATAACTCCTTGTTGCCTTTTCTGGCATCGCCGCTATAATAGTGTTATTCGTTATCCTTCCTCCATGTTTATTTTTCATCATTTTCGCCATGCCCTGCGCATTCTCCCCATCCTCCTCAGCTCTTTTTGCGGAGGCTCCTCCTTGGAGAGCCTCTGGGGGCTTCACACAAGTTGTTTCAGGCTTTCTTCAGGCCTTCTGGAGGCCTCCTGGGTGTGTTCTGGGGGCCTCTGGGGGCTTCCTCGGGCCACCCTGCCTCCAACCGCGGTCTCCCTGAACGACCGGGTCACAATTTGGAATGCTTCGGAGGGTGTCTTGGGGCCATCTTGGGCCGCCATGGGGCTCTCTGAGGGCTCTCTGAGGGCCATCTTGGACCCCTGTTGTGCCGTTTTGGGGCTCTCTTGGACTGCCTGGAAGTCCCTTCGGATGGTTATGGGGCGATTTTGGAGCCTCCCAGGAGGCTTCGGACGCCCAGAAGACCGCCGTCTTGGAGCGTCGGGAAGCCGAAAAGAGGATAACCCCAAAATAAACAAAAAAACAACAGAAAATCAATGATTTTTGCATCTTGGGGCCTTTTAGGGAGTGCTCTTGGAGGCCTCTTGGGACGTTTCGGGACAATCTTTGGGGGTATGATGGCTTCTTGGGGGTCGTCGTGGACCGTATTGGGGCTCTCTTGGGTCGCTTCGGGAGCGCGCCACGCCTTGCGAGGCCCGGGGGGCCGCTTCGAGGCCCGTCCGGAAGGTCCCATAAGCCCCAGATCCCTGGAGCCCGGTTTTGGGGGGGGACGGATTTTCCCCCCGCCCGGGCTTAAAAATATAGGAAGAGGAATATGTGAGTGTGTGCGTGTGTTGGCCCCAGAGCTCCAACACCTCCCTCCTCTCTCCCCTCTTCGCTCCACTCGTTCTCGCTTTTCTTCCTCCTCCTTCTATTCCCCCCCTCCTCGTCCTCGCCCTCCCCATCCACCTCCTCATGCATCCCCATCGCTATTCTCTCCCTCCGTCCCCCCATTCCTCCCTCCCTCCCTCCCTCCCTCCTTCCAAAGGCGTCATTGATGGATGTTCTTTCGCCACCACAACGATGATGATATTACACGTTATGGCCGTCTACCAGCATTACGCAGGTTGTTGATGATGACAGCCTCCAAGCCACAGGTTCTCACGATCAAGTTTTGAGAACCATCATCGCAGCGGCCAGGCCGTTGTGTGCTGAGTTACTGGACCTAGGTTGGAACTCGGCCCAAACAGAGGACATGTTATTGCCACATCGGCCCACTTTGAGAGAGAGAGAGAGAGAGAAATAGTCATTGCGCTGAAGAAGTACCAGTTCAGGCGACACAGAGCAGTACGGCAACTGAGACATGACCGCTCCATGAGACGTGGCGCGACAGGGCCATTGCAGCGAGCACGGGACAAAGAAACATTCAAGAGGATTGCTAGATACCGTCGATTGGCCACTTGGAGGCAGGCAGTTGGGCAGATTATTTCATGGCGGTGGCTTGGCTTCAGTGGCGTACACGATCAAAGTGAGATGTATGACTGACACGCAGCTCAAGCAGGTGAGGGCCATTGCTGGACACACGCCTTTTGGGACTGCAAGAAGGAGATGTCGCACCATGGAATTACAGCAGGCAAACTGTCCAAGAGCGAATC